TCTCCCGATGGAAATGCTCGTTAACGTAGCACAACCTTCTCCTTCTCGTCTATTCCTTTTTTTTTCGCCGTCGAATCAGCCGGTCGACGTTCTCAGAAAAACGGAAAAACGCGAGGAACGAGTCTATCGAGGACGATAATTGAGAAAAGACTCGTGATATCCGCCACTTTTTACCTCGCTCTTTAATAAAGCTAACAGTGCCTTATTATCTTTGAAATGTTTATTAAATCCAGGAAATAATATCTTACTTTGCTCCAAGCTTTTCACAACAAGTATAATATTTTACGAATTAATCGCTTCTGAAAAATCTTCAGAACGTTTATGTACTTCCTTTAAGAAACGTTTAAACAATAACGAAGAATTAACCATATCTTATATTTAAATACGAAACGAATCCTAAAAATCATCGATTGTTATCACGCTCAATTCCAGCAAGAATTACCAATCTTATGCTTCCAAACATCCTAAAACGTAGAATCCCCAACCCTAACGAGGGTTAATCGCCAGTTAAAAATCGTCTCGTCGTCGATAATCGGGGAAAGATGGGTTTCCTCTTCACGGAAATGCGGCAAAGTCGCGTCACGATTGATCGAATGATCGAAGAGCTCGTCGGAGCTTAACGGGAATCGAGCGATACGCGGTAAAGCTTTTTGCGAGGCGGCTTTTCCAGGGATGCCGGGAGCAACGCAAGAACCGGACGTTCCGGATTGGCGGGCGTGAATGGAAGGCTCTCTTGCTCCTCTCGAAGGGTCGAGGTGCCGTTTCGGCATTGAATAGCGGTTTTTCCCAGCTAGTGGACGCTGGTCCCGGGACCGATTTGAATAACAAAATCACCAGGAAGACGTATTATTCGCCCTCGTGGCGGGGCACACAGCTCGCGAGTTTATCGCCGTGCCTCGTTTGCATCCCATGCGAAACCGTTCCGCCGATCGAGCACGCTCTATTTCCATCCTCGTCGATCCTTGCCTCCCCCTCCATCCCTGCCCAGCGTGTGCCGGCCACTGAATCCATTCGTTTCACGGGAATCGAGGGGAAAAACGCGATGATCCAATTCCAGGGAAACAGAGTTGCATCGCGTTAATTTGCATATTTGGCCGAGGAAAGGGGGGGCTGATCCATCGACGGCTATGAACGGACGGATTTCGCGGAACGGTTGAAAGCAAAGTGGAGGAAGGTTGAACGACATCGATCTGGAATACTTATTATTCAGAGTTCGATGACGAATCAAGCTACCCATAATTCGATAAACCGGAAGGAGGGTAGTTGGAAGCGAACAATAACGTTACGTGGATAACGATCGACAGGTGAGAGAGAAGGAGAGAGAATCGACCCATAAATTACACCTTGACCCGAGAGCGAGAAATAGAAAGAACTTTCTGATAAGCATCTCTCTCGTAACATTAGTTTATTCCGGATCTAAGGAAAGCTGCAGTCTCACGATTTTCGAAGGATAATCGGTGTGATTAAACCTCGGGAAAGAGACAAAGAGTGGTGGCCAAGAGTGGTAAAAAAAAAAAGAAAAAAGAAAAAGACAAAGAACGAAGAAAATATCGTCGAAGAGTTTACATTAGAAAGTATGATGAGGGACTTGGCCGTTCTCCGCCCGAGAGATCTCCATGAAGCCCGCGTTAAAAGAATCTCTGGTCTGACCATATCGGTCGAACAGGTGTGCCTGTACGACGTAGGAATAAACGATTAGCGATTCGATTAGCATCCGTGGATCATATCGATCGCAGCTACGCGGCATTCCGAATGATACCTCCTCTTCTTTCGCGGGCAGCAAATTTCGCAACAACGCCGAGAGGAGATCGCGTATTTTTCATTCGAGGCTCTCACAGCTTGATCTCCCATCGATCCACTCGAATTATCGCCCCTCGTTCCTCGTTAATTAACTACAATACCTTGCAAAGGACGCGAAGAAACGACTCCGCGGGTTGAAAATTGAAAACCGCGTCACGCTTCCTCCCAGCCGTGTTGCTATAAAAATCCTCTTTCCCATAGACAGAGAGATGTGGAGAGAATGCGTGCGCGCGTCCACCACCCTCTGGTCCTGCGGGGAGGGGAATTTTTGTCGCTTGGACTCGAGGGGGACAAAGGGGAGAAGGAAGACTGTACGAAGGTACGCTGTTCGAAGGTCTGGAACGAAACGAAGAGGGAAGAACGAAAGAGGGAAGGAGGAGGGGGTGGGATGGATGGACAGGTTTAAGGAGAAGGAAAGGAAGAAAAATGGAGCGGGTGGTGGTGGCGCTAGACGATCGGAAGTGTGTCAAATTACAGAGGTCCGTGATATTAATGACTCCTAATGACACGGCCCCCTCCGTCCATGGGTCCTTTCCCCCACCTTGGGGGACAGCCTGGATCCCCTCCACGAGCCTGATTTCCTTCCTACCGGTTTCCTTTCCTTCCCTTCCTCGCCGAGGCTTTTTAAGTGGGCTCCTCGCAGCAGCGGCAACAGCAGCAGCCCCCTCGAAACCGATTCACGGAATCGGCATTAAGGGTGCAATTGCTAATTGACGGAGGCTAATAGCAATAAGACAAACAATCGGGGGCCTTAAGTGCTATAAAAGTAAAACATAGGTTGCAAATGATGTCCTTTCGCGATCCTCGGAACGATGGATTCGTTCGAGGCTTGTCTTGAGGCCGAGACAAATACGTGGGGAACGATCTCCTCCTCCTCTCCTCCTCCTCCTTCCCCAATAGTCTCTGGGATAGTGGTGAATCGCTCGAAGAAGATCTTTGGAATCTTCTTTCGGTCTGTTTGCCCGTTGGTAACGACCGGTTCAGCGTTTCCGAGAGTCCGGCCCGATTTTTTGCCACTCTTCCAAAGCTTTGTTAGAATCCAGCTTGGGTTCACGATGCTTATTTTTCGAAGGGGACGCTTTCGAAAGATTGTTCCGAGAGTCCTCTCTGAATCGAGAGATCTAGATCTTCCCCTCCCCTCCCTCTTTTTTGTTCGTCCTTTGCTCCCTTAAATGGAAGACGTGTTAATGAAACTGTTGAACAGAATCATATTTCATATATTTTAAACGCGTCCTTTCCTTTTCTTCGCGAAGAAATCGTACCGATATATAATATCTATTCGACGAACTATCGTTATAGAAATGCAGTAAAAGAAAAGAAATAAAAGTATTCGAAATAACTACTTACTTCTAAATATAAGTAGCTACTATAATAGTTTACGCAAGATTTAAAAATTCTTCGTAATAAGATCGAAGAAGATTCGTCTCACGTTCGAACATCGACATCTCCAAACACCTTTGACGTCTCGAAGACAGACCGGTGATCCGGCTCGTTAAAGATCCAGTTTCGTTATTATCGTTCATTGGAAGACGTGTTACATTTGACGACACGTGACAATCTTCGAGAGAGATTGCGTTTTTTTCTTTTTTCAGACGGTCAGCAGAATCGCGCACACGAAGAAACAGGGTGGACGCCTCTCACGCGAGCCTAAATTATCCTTATGGATGGGATCGACTCCCTTCTCGCTGTCACGTGAGAAGAAATTCTGTCGATCCTAGTTGGACGAGGCGATAAAATCCTTCGAAAAGTTCCTCGAATTTGTTTGTCGAAATTTTTGGGGAAAAAATCGTTTGGGGCCTCGGGGGGTTTCGACCAGGTTCAGGGAGGTTTCCACCCCCTTTTTTTTTACGAGCAGACAAGTTTTTCGGCCAAGGACGAAGGTGTATAATATAACCCCCTTCCTGTCCGTTTTAAGAGGGAGAATTCCTCGTGGCAAATGACGAACCGCCGTGTTGCCTCTGCTGGTGGGCGGTATAATTGCTTTTATGACATATTTTACGTGGAAAGGGATCAGCCTTAGGATGCAGAGGCGGCTACGTTCTATTTCGGTAAACGGACGCTGTGAACGAATGTTTGATCATTTGATTACGCGATTCTTTTCCGATTAAATATACATAAAAGTTTCAATTTCACTTCTTAAAACTCTTCTTCAAATCTTTTTCTTCGAGAAAAATAAGCATATACTCAATAAAATATAATTTTTCCAAATATAGAATCACTTCTTTCTATCCTCTCATTATTTCATTGATCTTCCACCGTTATAACAATTTTGATCGATAAGCCATGATAAATTAATTTCAGAAAAACGTATCGGATTTGAATCGATAATCGATCGGACGAAATGAAGGGCTTGATGCCTGATACTTGGATTCATAATCGACGAATGGAAAAGAAACGGAAATGGAAGGAAGGCGCACACGGTTTGAGACTGGTTTCGGGCTCCATTCGCGCTCGATTAATAAAAATCCCCGTGTCCCGTGGCGGCGGCTCGTCCGATTTCTTTGCCGTCTCTGAAAATTTCTCAATCAGCCGGCACCAGGTTTCCTTACCGGCGGCGGATTTTCTGAGGCGCACAATGTAAAAGCCTCATCGTTGCAATTAAACGATGTTTGCCCGGCCCCGATCGGCCGCGCAAAAACCCGGCCTAAGAAATAACGACGCGGATTTATAATGCCCCGATACTTGAGTCCTTTCGCTCGAGGCCCTCCGCCTCGTCGTGTCGTATTATTCGTTTGTGAAATTTATGTT